TAAATTTAATACCCATTTCATCAAACTATCAAAATAGATTGGATAATCTGATGTAGACCTTTGACTTTAAATTAGTTCTTAGTAAAACTATAATTTCATTTACATAGATCTTATAATTCTTGGTGCAATTTGTTTGGTTTAAAAAAATTTTTTTTCATCATCTGAGGACATCTTTTCCATTGCTTTTAGAGAGAGAGGAAGGTAGAGAGAGGTACATCAATTGATTGCCTCCCATACATGCCAGGACTGGGGGATCATTTGTGCTTTGATGGGGAATCAAACCCTCAATCTTTCAGTTATGGGATGATGCTACAACCAACTGAGCCACACCGACTAGGGCTTGGTTCAATTTGTTTTTGTTTATTTTATATGTTGTAGCTCTTACTGTATTTTATTGGCTATTGCTGGTACATAGAAAAATGACTGAATTTTCCATTTTTATAATCTAACGCTGTTCAAACAGATTTCTTACTCCTCGTTCTAATAATTTCCAGTTTAAAATCTTGGATTTTTTATAATAGACAACTATATCATCTGTAAACTATTAACTTTTTCCTCTATCATTGTTTATTTAGGTTATTGTAGAAGTTCTTAGCTAATGAATAATAGTAATGATAGTAATATCTCTATTCTATTTTTACATTGATGGAAGCATCTGTAGAATTCTTCATGTCATTTTATATGAAATAGATCTTCCTTGCCATGTTAAAGATATGTCTGTTATTCTTAGTTTATTGAGATTTTTAAAAAATAAGTCAGGAATGGATATTTAGATTTACTAACAGTGCATTTTGGATCCATGGCAATGGTGATGAATTTTTTACTTCTTCTTAAAGGATCTTAGTGTTCATTTAATTTACCACCAAAAATTCATTCGCTTTATACCATGTATAGAAAACTGAGGTCCAGCCTGCCTTTGAATCTGTCTGGTGATAGGAAACTACCTATAAAGCAGCTCCATCCATTCTTCATAAGTCTCTAGTTACTGAGCCTGGGTGATACTGATCCATAGATCAGTAGTCTTCTCAACAGTGTTCTTACAATTTATGAATCAACCCTCTGTTACCCAGTCCATATTTTTCAATCTTGCTGACAAACTTATTAAGCGATGCCCTTGGCCAATTGTTTATTTAAAGCATTCTAATAATTCTATCAAAGAGATTAATTTATTCCAAGATAACTTATTCTAAGTGAAACCATGGTAATCACGAGTGCTTACAGAATACCCATATAATATTAGAATTTTGCACATATATGTTAAGTTCAAATTAGAAAAAAATTAAAATAGTTACTATTTAAAATTTATATTTTAGTATTTAACAAAGTTTCAGCTGCAACAGAGGTATTAACTGTAGCTATTACAACCCCTTTAAAAATTAAGAAATTTAGGTTCAAAGATCTGGTAGCACTGGCAACTATTTCTCTCAAGTCAGAATTTACAGGGGACCTTCATTCATTAGAAGATCAGGCCTCCTGAAGCTTTTGGAGTGTTTTGATTTTTTCCCTCCCCTGTGGATTCTACAGGACACATGTTGGGAGTTAGGGCTCAGGGTCTCCATGCTTTAAATTATCCAGATGAATTCCTGACTAAATTGCTATTTGTAGCTGTCAGCCAGCTAACCCCAAACTGCATTTCCCAGAAAGTCCCTGTGCCAGTGGCTTCCCATTATCAACAGCATCTCATGAACTGCAGCTGCCCTAAGTCTTCCATGTAACACCCTCTTAGCTTCTTCTTGAGTCATCAAGCACCTAATAATGCTTTCTCAACCTTTCAACCCTGATGCCAGTAGCAATTTTGTTTTCTTTCCTTTTGGGCCCCTAGTGTGAGACCTTGTAGAGGCCAACCCTTACTCTTTACTTTACTGCAACTGAATTTTCAAAATCCTGTGTTATAATAATAAACCAGTAATTGTAAAATCAAACAGTGCAGACATGTGTAATGAGGCAAAAGTCTTCTCTTAATGGCTTCCTTCCCTCCAAAAAGACCCACAGCTCACCTTCCTCCCCTCATCTCAGAGTTACAACAGAGTGCTCTTTTGTAATTCAGTACCATAAATACACTATGCAAACCTAAATAACATAAAATTATGTAACAATTTTTAACTCTGTGAAAATTATAATTCCTTCAGTCATCTACCCATGTTTTACTTTGAGAATTATAATTTCTTCATTCACCTAACTTCCTTCATTACTTCAGATCTACTCAACACTGCTGTACTTGATTTAAAAACATGTCAATCAGTTGAAAAGTTGTCTTCTTGTTTCACTGTGTTTTCAAATGTAATTGAAAAGATAAAACTGCATAATCATATAATCATCATAAAATGCGGGAAGGTAGAAATTGAGGGATCCTAATATTATATATCCACTTACTGGTGGATAAATGAGGTAGAGGGAGATAAAATGTCCTCTCTTAAGGTTAGAACAAGAATTCAGTCTTTCATATTTCCAACCTAATGCTCTTTCCACTTTGCCATATCATCAGCTTTCAGAATCCTCTAATTATTTGCATATCACCTTTTCTCTCTTGGGGGAAGTATCCCTGGGACTTATTGGTCTAGCACTAACTATATTTCAAATAATAGAGAAAAGCATGTCTTATCTTGCAAAATGATAAACTGATGTCACATTATAAATTTGCTATAATAATTTTTTCAGTGTAAATGTTGTTACCTGAGGAAAAAAAACCAGTGTTGTGAGAAAGGGTTGCAAACATTTCAATTAACTATCACAATAAAAAATTGTTTTGATTTTTGTTTTTTAAGTTACAGACTAATACTTCAGCTAACATCACAGGCCCTTTCTAACTGCTTTAACTCATGGAATTTGAGTCAGGTCAAAAACATCTGAACTGTTACTTTCCCTACTAAATTGTTTCCAATACTTGATTTTCCCAAAATGATTAACTTGGCACTACTTAAACACATATTAACTAATTCATTCAAGCATCAAAGCTGATGAGTCTGACAGACAGAAATTGCTATAAACAAACAAATTTCAAGCAGAGTATCTCATTGCTATGTATAATTACTAGGGAATAATAAGATTTTAAAAGCATGGCTCCACATGTTCAGAGATTAAAAAAGGAGATTCTTAAATCAGGGACAACATACCTTGGAATGATTAGTTTTAGTTTTTCAAGGATGTTCTTTTAGTGGACAAGATTATGTTCTCTCTCTCTTTTTATATTTCATCCATCCTTCCATCCACTCATTCCTTTCACATACCTGTGCCAAATATAGAACTAGGTTCTCAGAATACAATGGTTTCTGTCTTCTCTGAGCTTTAGTTCTCAGTACACCAGCTAAGTCACAAGCTCTAAATTTGTGACCTTTTTTCCCCTCTATCTAGTTGATTGCTGTTGCTCACACTTTTAACACCTATTTTATTGCCCACCCAAACAAAGTTACCTTAGGAAGAGGATTTTAGACAGTCTGGCTTTCTGTAGTCCATTTGCAACAGGGCTTCTGATCTTTTCAGGTCTGGCCCTTTGCCAATGAACATCACTTAAACTAGCACCTCTTAAAAACCTCTTAAAAAAAGGCCTCTTAAAAACACCTAATCTTAAGTAGTCAGTCCCCAGTTACTGTCTTATTTTCACTGTACCTTTTGACTCTGATATCTTCTCATTTGCTTCTTTAATCTCCGTCTCCCTCTCTTCCATGAAGACTGTGATGGCAGAGAGGAGCCTTATCTGGCTAGTTTGCCTCCGACTCCTAAAATGGTGCTTGACACACAGTTGGCATTGATTAAATATTTGTTGAAGGAATGAATGGATTCCTAATTGACTACTGTTTGTACTGCAGATATTGATTCATCTTTCTTGAGAAGTTTTTAAAACTCACCTTTAGGAAGATTAAATCAGAATTTAAAACTAAGTCTTAAAATTAAAAACAGTTTGGAACTGTGGGGAACATCTGGCAGAGAAATAATTCTGGTATTTGCAGTGATGGAAGGAAAGTTTTTCTTCCGATAGAGGTTGTTGGCCTCTGTTGGTATTAGTGGAAAATGCATGCCTATTTTTGTTGGTTTTCTCAGGGACTGGGAACATCTGGCACTGGGATCATTGAAGTTGTTCATTTTAAAGTGAAGAGTTGTAAGAACTTTGGAGGTTGGAAACGGGAGAGAAAATGCCTTAAGAAAATGAAAGCAGTCTAGAGAAAGGAGAGGCTCATTTCTCTTATTTTTTTAATTTTTAAACAGTTTATTTTTAAATTATAGTTTACATTCCATATTATTTTGTATTAGTTTCAGATGTACAGTATAGTGGTTAGACATACTTTACAAGATGGTCCCACGATATTTCCAATACCCACCTGGCCTCAGTACATAGTTACATAGTTATGATATCGTATCTCTTTTAAAAAACAGGTTTCCTTGGTTCTTCAAGAGTCTTACTTAAGGAAAGCTTCCTAGAAAGTTCTTCATTTGTATGGTTTCTAAATAAGCAGACTCTTGGGGTAGGGGGAAGGAGGGAGGGGCAGCGTGTGTCGCTCCGCCTTTTAGGTTCATCCTGGCCCAGAAAGTTGTGTTTACAGGACCGGCTTTGGAGGCTGCTTTCTAGAACATCGTTCTGATCCCTTTAAAGGTGGAGATCATGACGGAGGATGTGGAGGAAGAAGGCGGGAGCCAGCCGAAGGCTGAGAATCTCCGTTGACATAGTAACTCTTCAGCTCCAACTCCCTTGCTCTGGGCCCTCAGGCGCCGCTGCCACCCGCCGCTCCGCCTGTACTCACTCAGCCCGGGAGCCAGGGCCTCCTCCTTTCTGGGTCCCCTTTGTGGTTCCCTAAGTGGTGACTTCTCTCCGAATTAACATCAAAGCCGCTCTCGGAGCTCAGATCATCAGGCGTCCTCAACCCCTGCCTCACACTCGTCCCCTGGGCACCTGTGTGCCCCGGGACAGTCCGGCCAGTGACGCGCACACCGCCTAGGCATCCGCCTGGAACTGCCTAGGCGCCTCCCCCCGGAGCGGGACCTGGGGCCGGTCTGGCGTTGCAGCTATGAACCAGAGCCCAGCGTTCGGGCCCCGGAGGGGCGGCTCTCCCCAAGTCATGGCTGGGGCCGGCGCGCGGCGCAACGAGAGCCAGGACTATCTGCTCATGGACTCCGAGCTGGGAGAGGACGGCTGTTCGCAGCCCCCGCTGCCTCCTTACGGCTACTACCCCTGCTAGTAAGTGCGGGCCGCGCGGACGGGCGGGTTGCCGGCTGTGCAGCTGAACGCTGCGCGCTCGCAGGGGCGTACGATCCAGATCTGTGTGCGTCTGAACACGCATGTCCCTCCGAGGACCGCGAGAGTCTGGTCTGGGACCCCAGGGAACAGAGGGGCGTGTGCGGATCTAGGTTGCTCCTGGTGAGCAAGCATGGGTACGTTCGCCTGCGAGAGTGGGACTGCGGGCCGTCAGCAACACTAAGGGTGATCGAGTGCCTCGTCCATTTCTTCAGTTCGGGTGCCACCCGGTGCCCTCATAGACACTCAGTGTTGCTGCCCCAAAGGCATGTTCTGGGCAGGGGACTGATTCAAATTTGCCCCCCTGTTACTCAGCCTCTGTGGGAGAGATGAGTACAACACTAAAGGTCCTTGGTGCTGTCTTGGTGCGTCCGGGAAACTCGGGAACTAGTGCGCCCGTTATTTTCTGCACGCTCTGCCTGCTTTAGCCCTTCAGGTGGCGCGCACAGGTCCTTAGGGCCCCAGAAAGCGGGGCAGTTCGAAGGTGTGCCTGGGAAGGTATGGACTTGCCCTGGGGACATCCTCTTCCCCGCCTTGGAGTCACGGGGTTAAGTCTGGGAAATAGAACTCCTAGGCTTCCCTACCCGCAGCACTGAAGCTTTTACCAAAGGGGTCCAGTGGAGATGAGCCTGATAGGGTGCGGACCAGGAATCGACTGAATTGTAGAAGCGAGGGGACAGGTCGTTTGCAGTGTATTCTAACTAATTAAGAGATTTTTACTGGAGAACGTCGATTTTGTTTTTGTTTTTGTTTTTTGTTGTTTCTTTTTTGGAGAGAGATCGTTAGCAGAGTCAGGTAGAAGGCAGAATGAATGAGGGTGAAGTCTCCCCTCCCCCTACTCCTGGGCCCACACGTGCAGCTGGTAGATAGCATTTCTGCCCCATCGCTGGTTCGATTGGGTACCCTGGTTTCCTGATCTGTCACACAATCCATCCAGATGCGGTTTTCCTCCTGAGGAAAGCAGTTCTCAGTAGCAGTTGTGTAAGCAGCTCGGGGGGTGGGTGGGTGTGTGTGTGTGTGTGTGTGTGTGTGTGTGTGTGTCTCCGCCCCCATGGGCTCCTGGCAGACCCTCATGATAGATGAATGGGCACTCCAGTCTTTGGTCAGGACTGCTCACAGTCAAGTCCTGCTGTGGTTCCCTTTCACAGTAAGACGTGAACCCTAGGAAATTGAGAATCTAATTTTTTCGCGAAATAAAAAGAAATAATTGCAACTAGTTCCATTAATCTATGTGTTGTGCAATTTGAAAGCATTTACTATTTCTTATCTTTTTTTCCTTTTTAAAAATTAAGGCATACTTCACATCCCATACAATTCATTTTAAGTTGTACAGTTCAGTGATGTTTAGTATATCACAAAGTTATGAAACCATCATGTCTGTCTAATTCCAGGACGTTGCCATATCCCCAAAAGAAATCTTGTATTTGACTTTATACTGCAGAATATTCTTTTGTTTTACAGTACAGAGCTTCTCAAACTTTAATGGACATATGACTTACCTAGGGGTCTTGTTAAAATGTAGATTGATTCAGTTGGCTCTAGGTGTGGCCCAAGACTCTGCATTTCTAACAATGTCTGAGAAGTATGGAGACTGCTGGTCCATGGACCACACTCTGAGTAGCAAGAACATATATACCAAGAAAAAAACAGAAAAATAAATCAATCTTGGATATTATGAATACAGGTATTCTCAAATTTTATTTGAGAGTAAATATTTAAAACATAGACTCTTTTTATTGGCTTAGACTTGAGATTTACTAAGATGGCAATGTTACCTGTGGTTAAGTTAAGCAACTTGAAAAAGCTATACTGCTTTTTAAAAATTAGGCTGTCTCATAGACAAAAAACTTGTCTACTGTTTACCATCTGATTAGTCTATAATCACTTGTTACTGTCGGTGGGAAAAATAATTTGATTTATAAAACTTGTGGTAATATATTAGTAGTGAGAAAAACTAAAGAAAGTAGTAAGATCATGTCCTGAAATCTGTCCCCAATGCTTTCTTCAAATGTGGTTTACTGCCTTACTTATTTTTTTAGTTTTTACATCATCTTCTATTTAGAGGATATTTTCCTCCCTTAGTCCTGGAATTCCAGATCAGTCTTAATGGCTAGACCTGGGCAGCAGGGAGATGAAAACAATATTTGAATGAGCTTCTATTCATACCAAGCACCCTCTCATGTCATGTCAGAGGTACTAGATAATAAATTAAAGAGTGAGTCTTGTTCCAGGAGTAGAGTCTGGTCTTGTCTAAGTCTAGTATTTCCAGGAGGTTTTATAGTTTTTATTCTTTTTATCACTGTTTACTCAAAGGTTTTTATTTTCCACAGTTAATAAATCAAGTAACTGAAAAATTTTAATCAATAAACAACAGTGCTTCACACCTATGATATAAGAGAAAGAGCTAAAGAAAATTACTTTCCTCTGGTAGAGAGTACAAATAAACTCTTCTATATGCTCTTGATTTGTGATTTAAACAATTTCATATATTTTCCCAGAGTGGGAGGTGTATTATTGGTGAAAGCAATTTTTTTCAAATCACTGAGATTTTTGCCTTATAAGATCACAAAATGTTGCAAGTTGTCATTTTTGCGAGATAAATTCAATTACTCTTGCTAAAAAAATCTGTTTCATAGTTCACTGACGTAGAAAGATTTTTTTAGATATATTTATGAGGCTTTTACTATTGAAAATAGTGGCAAATTTTCTTGTTGGGGAACAGTAACATATTCTCAGAACTTCATAGAGTTAGCAGTAACATTTTAAAATGATGTCTAGAAGAAAAAGATTCAAATTCTTCCTTTTTCTAGTTTTTAATCAGAAATCAATGAATACACTGTATTTTGATCTATTTGTAAGGATGAATAGCATGAAATGGTCCATGTTCTGCCAGTATTTTAGGAGGTGTATCATTTAGAAATTAAAATTATGTCTCTTGTTTATCACTTCTCAACATGGGGAGGAATTCTGGCCATAAAAACAGTAATGTTAGGGGTTTCTAAATTCTCAAGACCTGAAACACAGTCAAACTAAACATTCTATTTGGGGAAGACTGACTAAATAATTAAGAATAAGACACAGTAAGCTGTTCGTAAACTAAAGCTCTGGTGATAGAGTAAACTGAGACAATTTAAAAAATTATGGTTACTATTACCTAGAAATACTGGATAAAGTATTTAAAATAATTTTAAAACATTACTTAGTTTTGTGAAAAGTAAAATGGTTTACCATGTGCCAAAAGCAAAGAAATTAAAAACCAGAGGATAGCTGATATTGTGGCATCCATGGGGTTTATGGATCTGAGTGACTAGGAGGCTGGAGCCTAGTGCCCGTATGAACTAGAGAGAAGCTAAGGCCTTGGCTCCAGATTAGGCAGAGAGTTGGGACTGAGACGTCTGTGCCCCAGCATAAATTCAGGATCCTTATTTGTATGAGAAGTTAGGTTAGAAAAATAGGCCACGAGCACAGAGTGAGAACAAGAAACTTTATTAGTAAGTGGAAAAGAAGTCTTCCCCTAAGAATTTCATTTTTCGGCTTGCATGTTATGTGTTTTTGTTTTTGTTTTTATTTTTTTACACTGCTTGCTGACCTGGAAGTCTTCAAGCTGAAAAATATTCTTGGTGTTCCTAGAAGAGTAAAACACAAAACTGTTTTGAAAGAATAGTATCAACCATCTCAACTGCAAGGATTTTCAAGAAAATGGCAAAAGAGGAAAGAGCACAGCTAAAGATAAGCTCACTATATAATACGTGACACAGCACATAAGGAAATAGTCAACCAAGAATGAGTGTCAGCAGAGGATACAATCCATGAGGGAGAGTCAGCATATGATACAACAGCCTTACTGGATCTTTAAGAATTTAAGATAGTGTCACAACTATCTTAATAGAATATAGAAGACTCATGAGAATATAGAAGACTCATGAAAGAGAATATAGTCTTCTTTAGATTTTACATATAAGTGAAATCAAATGGTATTTATCTTTGTCTGAATGACTTACTTCACTTAGCATAATACCCTGTAGGTCCATCCAGGCTGTTGCAAATGGTAAGATTTCATTCTTTTTTATGGCCAAGTAATATTCCATCGTGCAAATGTACCACCACTTTTTTTATCCACGTCTGTTGATATGCATTTAGGTTGTTTCCATAGCTTGGCTGTTGTATATAATGCTGCAATGAAAACAGGGTTGTGTGTATTCTTTCAAATTAGTGTTTTGAGTTTCTTCAGATATGTACTCAGAAGTGGAATTGCTGAGTCATAAGGCGTTTCATTTTTAAATTTTGGGGGAACTCCTGTACTGTTTTCCATAGTGCATGCACCAATTTGCATTCCTACCAATAGTGCACAAAGGTTCCCTTTTCTCTCCATCCTTGCCAAAACTCATTTGTTGATTTAGTACTGTTAGCCATTCTGATAGGTGTGAGGTAATATCTATCTCATTGTGATTTTAATTTATATTTCTTTTATGATTAGTGAAGCTGAGCATCTTTTTATGTCTATTGGCCATGTATAAGTCCTCTTTGGAGAAGTCTTTGTTCAGGTCTTTGCCCAATTTTAAACTGGGTTATTTGTTTTTTTTGGCATTGAGCTCTTTATAAATTTTGGATATTAACTCCTTATCAAGTGTGTCATTGTCAAATATGTTCTCCCATTCAGTGGATTGTCTTCTCATTTAGTTGATGGTTTCCTCTGCTGTACGAAAACTTTTTTTATTTTGATGTAGACCCACTTATTTATTTTTTCTTTTGCTTCCCTTGCCTGAGGAGATATATCAGAAAAAATATTACTACAAAGAATGTCCAAGATTTGACTGCCTATGTTTTCATCAAGAATTTTTATGGTATTGAGTCTTACATTTAAATCCTTAATTAATTTTGAATTTATTCTTATATATGGTATATGAAGGTGGTTTAGTTTCACTTTTGTCACTTACCTGTGC